TTACAATTAAACATATTTTCACATTAAATCTTATAAACTATGCATTAAAACCATAATAAAAATTTTTAATTTGAAAATTTCAAAACAAAATTTTCAAGTAGCCGACTGGGATTCGAACCCGGGACTCCAGCGTGGGTGTCTACCCCTTTGACCACTACACCACAACCGCTTCATATCAGATGTCTTTACAAAACCCATTACGAATAAGAGAAGCTGTATTTGGTCTCGTAAAACAAGATTTTCTTAGACATTTTATGTCATTTGAAGAATTTTATTATTAATATAGCCTAACTACGTGACATAGATATTTGCAGCTGTTTGATAGCAAAGGTACAATAAATTAATTATTAATATAATATTCTCTTTATTTAGGCCTACTACACTTACAATTTTAAAATTATACGTCAGTTTTAAGATTTTGTTGCGATATAGTAAAATTGTACAATAGATGTATGTACAGGATTTTGTCATCTGGGTTCAAATCTGGATACTTTATTACTTTACTACTAATTACTTTAAATGAGAAATGCCTATATTATCTGCCCCCCACTGTACCACATTTCAACTCAATCAGTTCAGTAGTTTGTGCTTCCGAGAGCAACAAGAAAATACACAAACTCACAAACTTTAAGATTTATAGTATTATATATATTATAAGAAGTGTTTGGGAGTCCAGTTACAAAATCCAAATGTGGCAACTATTCCTTATAATAATTCCAGTTATTGTCAAAAACTCATTTATACATGAGCATAAATGGAAAATTATTATTCCGTATATGAGTAATTTAATTCCATACCTGGGAGTCATATATGGCCATATAAAGACCATGATTCCATATATGGAGGATATTTATGGCCATATATGGGCAATAATTTCATATATAGAAAACATGTATGGCCATATATGGACAATCATTTCATATATAGAAAACATGTATGGCCATATATGGCCAATAATTCCATATATAGACTACATATATGACCATATATGGACACCACCATATATGGATACAACCACATCTGGCCATATCTGCTTCCATATATGTCCATAAAAAACCATATATGGCTTTATGAAACCATATATGGAATTTTGATATGGCCATATATGGCCAGAAATTACTTTTTTATAGGGGTTGGTTGTACATTTTTGGTTATTGAAAATTGAAACAGTTTAAAAAACTATAAAAAATCTATGTTTGGTTACGTCGACAAAATCCAAAAAAAGATAGTAAACGTTACTTTCACATAGTTAACATTCTTTTGCCGTTGTAAACAATGTAATGACGAATTTTCGCAGGTGATAAAAGTGTAACGAAAGCAGGTCATTTCACAGTAGTGTAGCGAAAACTATATATCTAAGCCCACCCTGGGATGTAATTTAAAACAAATCTCTCTTTAAAATAATGTTTTTCTACAAAGACATTTTATTCAGTTTATGCTTTCTCATGCAAAGCAGGAAATATGCCGAATCCATTAATTAAACTTACTAAATACCCTCAATAGCAAAATTACTAAACGTTACTACCCCAGGTTAATTTTCTTTGTCATTCAATTAACTCCGAGGATTGCGCTTCGGCAGTATAAGTTTGCTGCTATGAACGCCTAGACATATAAAATGCGGTATCTAAATTGAATCTTCCTCAAGTCCTACATAAAGTTAGGGTTTACATCTCTCGAGTGAGATGCAGCTTTTGAAACCTACAAAGATGTTTGGCTGTGTGTAAAACAGTCGCTTCACTTCCTGTAAAATATTTTAAGGATCCAACACGTATCTGATTGTAGACAAGAAGAAGCGTCATTAACAAAAGGTAATGAGGATAAAAATTATTACTCGGTGGGTTGAATGTTGTATTTGGTTGGTTATAAAATGTTTCTCATTATTTTGTGTTTCATATTACAAAGTTCATGCTATAATATAGCTTTCTAAGTATATTTATCATATTTGTATACCTTCTAAGGTCAATCAAAGGTAGGCTGTGGATAATATAAAACCGTAGGAACCACCAAATGAAGTATTTTAAATCCTATGTTAACAAAGTCGTAAGCTAGCTAACAGATATCGACAGCTTTTAAAATACCCATGAAATATTGCTATTGTTCGACATAGAGTACTTAGAATTTATAAATGAATGTAAAATATGTGTCACCTTTGGTAGTTGTGGAAGCTATATTTTAATATATCAACAATAAGAATGAATGTTGAAATTGATAGGGAGGACTAGTTAGATTCAACATTAACTCTCGTTTCTGACCAAGGAACCCATTGTCCAAATCGAGAAAATTCTATTTCGTTCGCAACGAACTCTTTTTAGTTCCAATAATTTTCTTTTCCAAAAATATTCATGCTATTTTATTTATAAATTGCATTAATTTATTGTATTCCCTTCATAAAGGATTATATTAATCATATTCAAGTAAATCTTAATTACTGTAACAAATATCGGCAGCAGTTACATTTTGAGAAAGCTTTAATTGACTGTTTAAAAATACTTTCAATAAAATTTTAGTGGACAGGATTTAATAAAATAAAATAAATTCTTGAGCTAGTCCAGCTAGTTCTGCTTTACCTACTAATATTCTTACTGATTTGACCATTAACCGTTTTATAGAAACATACAGTACGAGAAATCATAGTTTTGAATTATTTTTTAATAATTGTATTTAAAAACAATCAAAAGCAATTTAAAAAACTTACTTTCTTGTTCATAAGAGTGTGACAAACTGAATTGAATTCGTGTCCATTACTACTTTAAAACCGAAGTGGTTAAAATAGGGTGTAATTGGTTACATAGGAGAGTGATGTTGGAATCACCAATCAGCAAGTAGTTTGTCCAAGTTGTTAACTCAACATCAGACTACTCTACCAATCGCTGGCTACCTATGTTAACTGTTTCCTCTCCAGCTGCCCATGAACCAACATAACAATTAATTTTAAGGTAATTACTGTATTTTGAGCACTAAAAGTATCTTAAATATTATATGGGTTAATTATCCTACGAAAATACTTTTATTTTACTCAAGTACTTGTTATAAATTATATAAGACAACGGTGTCTGTAGTGTTGAAATGAAGAGAACATACATTGGTACCGACGTTGAATAGATATGTGTATATTTATATTTAAAGTCAAATATTTCATAGATTAGGCTCAGGCCTATAGCCAAATCTGGCTATGCAGTAAGAGCATTTTACTTATTACTTGTTGGTTTAACCTATTGAAATAAAACAATTTGGCATAAAACGTATTTATGTCAAATCCAAAAACAATACCGTACATTCATAAAACGGTTCTTCACAAGCACACATTCGTTCAAGATTATTGTAACATTGTATTTTCAAGTAAACTGTATTTTTCATCCATCCGTACACGAAAATAGCTCATTTCCGTGTAACTGGGCTTGTCAAAAATCGTAAATGTCCAATATATCAAAACTCATAATCTTTCCAATCCCAAATATAAATTTCCTGTTCCAAACAAACAATTTCCCTGTTCCACACAACAGGAGTAGGCCTATATCATGACAATTTATTCGTATTTACTATATATGACAAAACAACAGTTCGAACGGGAAATACGTTTAAAAATCATACTATTGAAAAAAATACTACTAGAGTATGAATTATCATCTAATTATTTACAGAAACAAACAAAAACAGTGTGTTGTATCGCAGTGGGGATATAGCTGTATTACGTTCGGCTTTGCCTCGCTCGTATACCACAAACTTCCCCCAAAAGGGTGACTTTCAAACTAATAATAGAATTTACTATTGAAACAGAGTTAACTGAACAAAAACCTCGCTGCGTACAGAGGTTTTTCAAAATAAAATAATGAAAGTAATGAATTGTCACAATATCAACAAATAGATATGCTCGTATTGGTTTCACTGTGACTTTTTGGTTGAATTTTCTAGTGTTTATCTAGAAATATTATAGAATGTGATTATAGCACATCTTAAAAGAATATAATACGTTTTTAATAAATAGTTCTTCACAAACATACATTCTTCATGTATCAAAGCTAATTGTTGACTAGAAGCCATGAGTTCAAGGAACTCATAAAACCAATAAAGTAACTTTAACGTTCCACCAGTTGAGCTGATCAGAGTTGAGCGACAAACTACAAAACTTGATTGTACTGTAAACGCGTCAACAAAGTTTTGAGGTCAAATATATTGGGGGGAACTTTGCTACTCCCAATCCCACATTGACATATTTAACACGTAATAATTTCACGTAATTTAGTTAACTGTTTTTATCCAAAATATTGCCGACTAACATCCCAGTGTCTTCGTACCCATTTTGAAAACCACATTCTCTTTGTCAGGCTTACCGAGATGATGATATTTCAATAAAAAATTTAAACTTTAATTTGCACCCACATTAAACCTATGTATGCCTAAGTTTACTGGAGCCAACAAAAAATAGTTTCATATCTGAAAATAAAATAATGTAAAGTAATTGACTAGTTGTTAGCAATGCGAATCATGACAAGAGGAAGGTGGATTCAATTCCAAATGGTTCTAAATTGCGTTGAGTTATTCGAACGGTTTTCCTTTAGAAGTGTGTAATGTTCTTAAATTTAATACACCTTGGTGTTAAAACAAGCAAAAAAATTATGTTGTAACAAACCTAAGCTTCTGTCACTATCCTCACAAACAGACTACTACTTTTGTTCCATCGATCCTTTGAGAACTATATCAGATTTCGCTAACATAAAATATTATCAGATTAGATATAGTTGCGAATGCCGAAACCTACTAAACGAGGAAAGCAAATCCCCCAATTACCTTGACCTACTATTAAGTTCTAGGAAAAGTGATACTTCTAGTAAAGATCTGTAACAGTTTTAAAAATTGTTGATACACGTTTTAAAATTTTTCAGGAATAGTATGGCTACCAAATGATTATAATACGCTCACCTATCCAGGAAAAACTGTTTCACTCTTTATTATTAAATTTCTCTGCAGCGTTGAATTGAATCTGCTTCATGTGTCTGCAGGTTTCACAAAAGAGCGGCCACCTGCCGTGGGACGAAGATGGAGGAAAGTCGTCAGTGCCTCATGCCAGCTCGCTGGACGCGTTATCTCGAAAACAACGAACACCTGAGACCGCGCCTACGCCCAAGGCACCCAATAGAAGCGCAACGTGTAGTGTTCGTAAGTATCTGTCAATATCGAATATTGGTTCTTCGTAGACTGTACAACGTATTGATCATGGAGATCAAGTTAACACATGCTTGTCGAAAAGTGATATTACTACCAAGCCATTTGATGATAAAAATAGCTCTTATAAAATCATTGACTATCAAGTCAATGGTACAATGCACTAATCTTAACATTAAAACTGTTTATTTATTACAGTAAAGGGTTACTCATTTTCAACGCTAACATTGTATCGCAGCATTCATCGTTGGTTAAGACATGGCTCTACATATTAGGAGGTAAAATATAGTGTTATATATCAATTATCAATCATTGAGATGGGGACGCCACCAAGGTGTGTATTTGAACCAAAATATGATGGGTGAAGGACGAGTGTAGAATGTTGTGAGATGATCCGTTCAGCTTAGACACTGACTAAGATGAGCTATTTCATTAGCGAGGATAATTTATTCAAAGCCCAATGATAAGGAAAACCCTGGGTCCAGTTTAAAACCACAAACAATCTACTGACTAAAAACAGAGTGTGGACCGTTATCATAGAAAAAATAAAAAAAATACTAATGTCATCAAACATAAACAGGGAAAAGATTACAAAACACATTTTAAAAGCTTTTACACCAACTGGTTGGCATTAACATAACTATAAAAAGATCACAGAATTTATTAAATTTGGTTTGGTTTCGATAACAGAGGGTTTTAATACACGTTTTCGACCAAATGAAAAGAAAACAATAAACTAGGAATTTAAAAATAATCCGTAAGCTTATGCATGTTAAAAAAAAATGAAGATAAGTATAATATTTTGTGAATGCAGACAAAACGTATTTTCGGTAAGCAAATTTTTGTGTTAATACAATCGAAAACGAATCATTGTATGTTACTAGAAAGTGTTGTTATTTCTAAGCCATAAAACTATTTTAGGCCTCCTATGGTGTAGCTATTTGTCAACTTTGAATATATTTAAATTATTTATCCGCCCTGCCTTCGATAAAACAGGAATCAAAATAAAGTAAATATATATATATTTATATAGGTCTATGTCGTAAAGAAACGCTACGTTTTTAAAACAACAACTATTGTTAGTAAAATTGTTATTCATATTATCTTTTTGATTTTTGAGAGTGAATAACGTTAGTTTACTTTAAGCTTTTATTTTATCTTTGCATATAATAAGCTGTGACAATTCTCTAAACTTTTTTGGCAGTATTTACGTCTACAATCATATTGTATTTAAATCTAGTTTGAGAATTAAATACACATGTAAAAAAACATATTTTTATCAAAATTTAGATCGTGAAATATTCCACGTATTCAGCGATACACGAATAACTGCAAAAGTATATTTGTGAAACGTTATTGCAATTCTTATATGAGCTCTACAAAACGAGATGAAATTTTCATTTTTACCACCGACATACCAATAAAATGCAAAACATTCAGAAACATCTGTTTTGATAGAATATTTCCTTAATTTGTTTCTTAAGGAAACAATTTTCAACATAAAATTATAAGTATTTTAACTCTTATTCACGAACTTTTGTTTTTCTTATTTACTTAGTGGGTTAGTTTTTATTAAAAAAACATAATCTATTTTTAAATACAATAAAGGGTATGTTTGCACCTTATTCTATCGATAAAAAATTAATATAATGATTGTTTTTATTTAATAAAACATAATCTAAAGGGTTAGGACCTTTTTCCTAAATTTTACTTTTAATGGTATAGCATCTAATCAACCATACTGTTGATATAATCAAAGTATTTACCCCATTTTTTTAAGTATCCTGAAAATGTGTTGATGGTCCTTGAAGTATCTATTACTTGATGGTTATCTTTCAGTTAATTCTTCGTATATACTCACAATGGTAGATCGAGTATAACCAAATGATGGTTTTAAAATATAAAATTAAAACACCCATACATGATTTATAATATTAACATTGAATAGCATGACAAGTTTTTTGTGTATTAACTCATTCTAAATTTTATATTCATAAGGACTCTTGATATTTATATGGATGGATATTAAACCTCAAGTTAGTTTTTTATGACATAAAACTATTTATAAGTGAGATGGTTGAGCAATAAGTATAAACAAATAAAGCTGTCAACTACATAATATATAACTTGTAGACAATTCACTGTTCTTTACAACCGTGTTCATATTCCCAACCTTCAATCTTTATATCTTACAGGCAAATAATATTAAGTGCCTTCCAAATACTTTACTTGAGTAGGTATATAGTACGATTAGTACCAATCCTACCTATTTAATTATACATGTTAATGATTATTTGCAAAACTAAAAGTACCAAAGTAACCAAATTACCACAAACAATTCAACACAAATGTATGTAAACAGCAGGACCATTACCTATCTAAAAGTGTGTCCGTTGTTTAAATTGCGTTCATCAATGCTTCAATACATCACTGATAACGCGGTGCTATGATAATAACTATAAATAGAAACCAGAGCATGTTATAAACGTGTTAGAGCATAAATTATTGCAAAATGTTCAGTTCAAGTTTTGCTGTGTAAATGTACATCGATAACGTGCTTAAAAATCACAAACATTCAACCACTTAAAAATAGTTTGAGTGGTGCATTAATTTAACAGCAGTGTAAACAATATATCTACTATTTAGTTCTTTTTCATATGACGTTTTGTTCTAAAATCACTTTAAACGGCAGTAATAATTTACCCTTGCATAGTTTAAGATTCATGACTGTTAGTCTTAGAAAGATTCTAAATTGTATCTCGGTAGTAAAAAGATATGACTATTCAAGAATATAGGATCACTCATACTTCTGCTACACTATAAAAATTTAAATCACATTTTTAATTAAATGATCATAGTCTAACTATAAGTTATATTGTATTCTCGTATATAATTTACGTTTTAAAATATTCTTGTTCGACATTTTATACGCATCCATTGACCACAGCAATTCCAATAAGGGAAATGATACACAAATATTGTATTCAAAATAGTTTTTAAATTTACTTTTCATGCGTCACAAGTTGACTAGTTTTAATACCATCTTTACGTATAAATGGCTTATACATATATTCCAAATTACACTTCGGAATCTATAGTGTTATCAACTAGATCCCTAAACACACTTTATTACCTCAAATTACTCATACAAATCAGTATTAAACATTATGAGACCTGAATACTGTTCCATATTCAGAAATAGTATTCTTAATTTACCTAACTACACTTCTAGTTATACTTATACCACTTAAATATACGCAATCGCATGATAAATAAATACACTCTTGTATATCTAAACAAACTTCTAGACCCGCAATTGTTCTACTAGATTTTTGGATCTTAAACTACTTTTCAGAATTTATATGTCTACTTACACATGTACTTTGTAGATTCTCAAACGCCCTTCAAGATTTCTATATTCTATTTCGGTTCCATTAAACGTCCTCCATAATTTTACCAAATCTCTGCTACATCCCTTTAAACCCCTACTACTATTACAACTACTACTACTACTAGGGTTCAGAGCACATAATCGTACTCATGCTAGAATACACTATCAATTTCTGTTCCTTATATCTACATCTCTAAATACACTTTACTCCAGAGCCACTTACTCTTGATGTTACATTAACATACACATAAACCAACAATAATTCTTCAGCGTTTCTGAAATGCGTTGTAGGTTTTCTTAATGATGTTTTAATTGTTCAACAGTGTCGTCTAAAGCTGCTGAAGATATTCCTCCACGACTGCGGCCTCATACCCTAGATAGCTTTTGCGAAGGTAACGCAGCACGGTAGTATAGATCATGTACAGTGTACAGAGAGTGAGCACCTGTCTTCCTCAACGCAGAGAATGAAAACTCAGAGTGAAATAGCTTGTAGTGATAAATGCCTTTTAATATTAACCTTTCCTTTGAACGAGGCGTAACATTGTCATTCATTGTACAAGTAATCGTATTCGTAGCATAAAATTGTCTAAATAGAGTCATTCGAGAAATATGAATTTGTATGACACAATTTTAAACAACACCCATATACAGGGTTTTTACGGGAACCCTGACAAACTTAGGGAAATGGTTCCTTGGATCAAAACTAGAAAAAATGTCCCATAAGCATATGTCCTAAACTCACTCGTTTTCTTTTTATACGTTAAAATAGGTTTTTTTTTAGGTTTTCAGTGTATCTGTTGAACATTTTGACCTATAGATTGAAATATTTATGAGATATTTTGATAAGATTTGCATTGATTAAGAGAATATTAAATTTAAAAAAGATTGCATTACTATTTTGGGCAAACGAGTTGGTTATGACTGATAAAATTAAGTTAAAAAATAAAATATTTTCTAAAAAAATCTAGATTAGAAGCTATTTTTTGTTTTTGACAGCTTTTCATGTAGTAACCATTTAAGCTTTTGGCTTGCAACTTTACCAATACTTGTAGAATTTAACGGAGAACAATGAAATGTGAATTAATGTATACCTTTTATGGGTATTATTTTTGTCAAAATCTAAAATATTGTAGAATATCAAAAATTAATTAAATTATGCGAACCTTTTTTTTACGTATAAAAAGAAAACGTTTGAGTTTAGGACATATGCTTATTAGACATTTTTTCTAGTTTTGATCCAAGAAACCATTTTTCGAAGTTTGTCAGAGTTCCCGTGAAACACCCTGTATACATGTGCTATTGATCGACAACTCTAAATTGTTATATGTTCCTTATCATCAATTAAATATCATAAGATTTTTATTGTTTAGAAACATAAATCAACTCTTTTGGCTGAGCAAATTATTAAAATACTGAATAGAGCGGTGGCAACAACAATCGATACATTTTTTACATTCATATATCTTTAAATATACACCTAAATAATTACCAGATTAATGTTCTAATCAAAAATATGAGATCAAACTTCGTGACATTTAGGAATCCGTAAAAATCTTATCAGGTGAAATAGCAAAAGTACTTTCTACACATTAATAACTGGTTG